CCTGATTTTTATTCTAGAATGAGAAAATTATTTGGGGAGACATGATTCCAACTTTTTCTTTCTGTGTAATGTAGCTGTAATGGTTTAATTTTCAAAGTTCATTCTTATCTGTACTCCCCAAGAGGAATGCCTGTTTTGCCAAGTGGAAGTCAAATAATCTAAAACTTATGTGGGAGTGATAGCAAAGCACGGTATATATTTAATAAATGCCTGTTGTCAAGATGATTAATGATAGGAGCAAACGACTAGCAGAACTAGGGGATACTCTATTTTTCAGGGAAGGCTGTGTTTTATTAAAGCATTTCCTGGAATGCTAACTGCTGGCTTCGTAAGGCAATGGCTAAATGAAATGCAATGACCTTAAGAGGAAGCGTTCAGAATACGCCTGCAAGTTTCTCCTGGCCTTAGAATTGATCATTGTTAATTGCACACTGACCAGTGCTGTTTTTGCATTATGCAGAGCGTTATTCAATGTTTAAACATTTACACTGGCATTGGTTCTGGTGCCAGCATATACTCGTCACACTCATAACCCTGCTGTTTCCACCATGTTTGCACACTGAACGTGCCTCCTGTTCCCTGTAAGCAACTGCCCCCCCTGCCATAAAAGAGCAGCTGCTCCTTAAGTCTTTTCCAAAGACTAAATGTGGGTATGAATTTTGTAGCTCTCTGCTGTAACTGAAAAACGAAGTCTCGGAGCTGAGCATTTTGTCGTGTTTTTCAGGTCATAACTGGACTTCTCCGCAGAGCAGATGAGGTGAGGAAGTGTCATTTTTTTAAACTTTTTTTATTTATTAGAGGAAGCATCCTGTGCATCCGCTGTGATCTTTTGGCCTCAGCTGTCTTCTGCAGACGTGTTGCTTACTAACCTGGAGCCACCTTGCTGCGTAACAAGTCAGCCATGCTAGTGTCCTGCAATTCTGCCCGTTATTCTTCATTCCCTTTCTCAGGGAGCACAGTGGCTCCCAAGCCGTGGCTTTGGGAAGTTTCCAGCATCAGAGCAGGGATTGTGGAGAAGCCAAATGCACAACTTTCAAAGACCCGTGGACCAGCTGCGTGTGCTGCTCTGTTTGGCAGAGGCATCGGGCGAAAGGACATGTTTTTGTTGTATTTGTACAGGCTTGAAACCGAATTCAGTTATGGCCATGGTCCTATTGCTGTATGATTGCTTTGCCATTTTTTCAAGCGCTGAATACCTACCTGTGCAGATGGCTGCAGAAAGCAAATTTTAACCTCTCAAGGTGGATCGCTCCGAATGGAAATGAGAGAGATTTTTCTTTTTGAAGAGGGAGGACAGTGTTATTGAAGAAAGGAGGGAATCGTTGTTCCCAAAACCTTCTGGCAGGAGCTGGCAAAAACTCAATTAAATGATCCAGGCAAGATTATGATAATATCCTTGGCAGCTTGAATTGTATCTGTTTAGGCAGTTGCTTTGTCTGAATGTGACAAGAGAAGATCTGCAACCAAGCCAGTATTTTTAAGGGCGCGCTGGCTTTATCAATTCTGAGACATCAGTTTCTTAAATTTAATGTTACTATAGCTGGCCCCTGAGACCTCTATAATCCAAAGATACCGGAAGAAAAATTTTGGAGGCTTTACTGGCTATTTTTTCTTCTCTATTTTTTTGACTTACTATCTTGATGTAGCTTGGGTTGATTTGCAATAGTACAGAAGATTCTGCATCCAGCACTATTGTGGGTGGAATACTGCGTTTATGTCTTTGGCCGGGGAGTTGTTCTTGTCCTTCGTATCACCCTGTCCCAGGAATGGAGAGCTGCAGTTCAGCCCCCTCACTCTGTGCTCTGCTTCCCTCTTCACTTGAGTATGTCATACCACTGTTGCCTGGCTAAGAAGAGCCTGTGCAAGGTATTCCAGAAACGCTGTTCCTAGCAGCCGGGCAGCAGAGCATGACTGCACGAGCTGCAATAGCCTGTCGTCTGCACGCAGTAAAACAATTGTGAAGAACGTGAGAGAAGGGTCTTTGAGCTGTGTGAAGACTTGCAGATGACACAGAGATAGCGAGGGAGAGCGGGTGGGCATGGAGTGAGAGGGGTGTTATTTAGTTGGTGCGGATTTGCAGTATCATGGCACTGCTAGTAGAGGTGCCCAGGAGGGAGATGGTATGTTGTGATATACGGTAGTTTACATCGATTTGCTGACGCGCTTCAAGAAGCACAGTTTATTATGAGGTATAACATAATAGCTTGCTCCTTCAACAAGCCCTTTTGCTGAACTGTGGTACAGAAAAATAACATGGTCAATGATTTCCAAAAATTAGACCTTCTGCTGCTTCATGATTCGGATGCCAGAGGAATCAATTCATTTCCTTTCCTTAACTGAGAAAATCTCTTTGCCATGCAAGGTTACTTTATCAGAGGGTGTTTTCTGCAATGGTAAATGAGATTCAGCGCTTGTGATGCCACTGTCAATGTTAAGAAAGATGGCAGGTTGCTGACAGAATCTATGCATTAGTTAGGACGTGGCTGCCAACCTGCATGTAACAATGCTCTTAACGATTACAGAGAGCTCCTTTGTGCCCAGTTGGCAGTGGTGGGTTCGCAGATTCAGATGCCATGTTCTGAGTCATTATGTATTACTGCCTCATTTAAGGAAGTGCCTGGCTGCGTAGTGCCAACGGGGTGATATCAGGCACAGCTGTGATCTCCACACAGGAAGCTTCGTTCAGCTGATGCAAGTGTTGATTTTCTCTCCTCATGTGTCCAGGCTGTCTTCAGCAAGACTCCTATAGGATTCATACCTCTTGGGAAGACCTGCACTCTGAGCCACACGCTCTACCCTGAGAGCACGAACCAAGTCCAGTAAGTAGTACATGTTTTTGAAAGGGGGCTTTTTGTTTGTTTTCAAGGAGCAATGCTTGTTAGTAGCTTGCTACTTTTCTTTTTCTTCTATGTTACATTAGAAGTTGGCAGCCTCTGGGCAAAGCCTGGTGATTCTCTGGACTTCCTGAGTTAATGACTTCCAAAAACTGACTAACAATTAAAAGTAGGAAATGTGTGTATTATTAGAACATGAAATTATTTGCTCTGGCTGATTTCTCTGTAATAGTGTGATGCTCAGAGTTTTCAAAAAAAAACAAAGGGTTTAAAACGATCAAGCCTCTTAGGAATAGTCAGCAAGGATATGACAAAAATAAAACAAAAAGAAGTCCTCTTTCCATCTCTTCTCCAGTTGAAGAATTCTAGAAACCAGTCCACGTATAACCTGGTTAGCACCTGCAAAGTAAGGCGTACGACAGTATCTTTACGGGAGAGGCTGGATCACGTTACTGACTTTTGCGGGGTTTGTTGCCCATCCCTGTGATGGGCCTGATGCTGGCAGCTCTCCAACAACCTGAATCTTAGCTATCAGCATCCTGGATATGATCCAGTCTGGCAGTAGCTGTTGCCTGCATTTCAGTTTGTTGTAAGTTTGTTTTGTCCACTTCTAAAGCAAAAAGGCTAGTCAACTAAGCTTTCTTTTCCCCACACTTCATGGCTTCAATTTTTTCCTGCCAACTCATTAACATTCTTCTTTGCGGAACCCTTGCTGGTATCCATCATACATAAAACCCACGAGCCAACTGGCATAACATCCTTCATTAAAACTACCAGAGTGCTTTGAAGCTTGGCAAGATGGACAAGGCTGTAGTCAGCAGCTCGGATTAAAATAATAATTTATGTTTGGGTTCTAAAGAAGCTGTCTGAAATGAATGATCTTCTTGTCCCAAGGTAATGAACTGTGCAGGTGAGACTGTGGCGTGTTGGTGAAGTTGAAAGGAATTTGGTCAATAGGCTGCTTAACAACCCACACTGGTAACAGAACCTGACTTAAGAAGTGCAGAAGTGATATTTTCAAAAGAAATATTTGGGCTTTGGTACCTTCAGCACTATTAGATCTTAGCTTTGGAGTGTAGGAACTGTAGAGGTCTTAGAGAAAGATGAGTTAGGAGAAAAGGGCCAAGGGAAGAACAATTTCCTGCTCTGTCTCAGTATTCCAAGCCTGATGAAGCCAAGGGCAATTTCTTCTTCTGATTCACGTGAATATTGGGCTGGATCTGAAAACTGTATTTGGTTTGGGGTTTGTTGTTTTTTTTTCCCTGTCCAGCTGAGACACTGGAAATGCGTACAATATGGAATTTAAATTTTGCCAAAGTTTGAAAACAAGGAAGGGGTTTTAATGAAATACATGCTTCAAGGTCTGAACATAGAGACTTTGTAAACTTGAACACTTTGGTTAGAAAATCTTCAGTGCCACACTCTGTGACTTGAAATGAGAAAGTGCCTTAGGTACTGTCCACGACTTAATGGAGACCAAAACCACATGAGCACTGCTGATAGGTAGATTTGTGTTGATTAAAAATTTCAAAACAAATTAACATACTAAGGCAATTCAGTCCTGGACAGATGCATTCAGACCAGTCTCATGACCATTCCTTTCTCTCCCGGGCTGTTATACTTGCCACTGAAAAAATAAAACCATGATTTGGGTCCTCAGCATGTTAAGTACCCGAAAGAGCAAGTAATAGAGTTGGCATGTGGTCTGCCAGATTATCTGAAGAAGGAGGAATTTCTGAAAAGTTTAGGCCAAGAACTTCTTTTTGCTATTGAGGTCTTCTGCTGTTTGTTAGAACGCAGGCTTCCTCATGTATTGCAGCCACTCGGTTTGCTTTCTGATTACAAGGAGGTGCAGCACTTTGTCAGCGTGCTTTCCCTGGGGTGATTGTGTTAGCTGCAAAAAAGCCCCACGTGGACTTACAGTGGGGTTTGCTGAAAAAAGTGTAATTGTAAAGCTTACTCTTTTCCTTCTTTCCTGTTTAATTCGCTTCTGTCCTGTTTGTTTTGCAGACTTATTACTAATGCTACATTGGCCATTTTGAAGGGAGAGACAGTTCAACTTGATGTCTTGCAGATCAAGGTAAAAGCATCTGCTTATTTGTCACCCAGCGTTCCTAAAACTTTCCTGTTTTCATGTTGTTCTGTGTACATGGACTGCTTTTCCTCTGTGTAATGCTGTCATGAATTTTGGTTTACAATGTCAGCAGTTCTGCCGGCAGTCATTTCTCCACTGTATGCTATGACATCAGATAGTCCAAACTGGAGAAAACGCCAGAATGTCTGAACATCTGTTCTTGAGCCTCAGAGAGTATTGATGAATACAAGACTTACTAACGCCAATATTTCTGTAGAAATGGTGCGAGATAACAATAGCTGTCTGAGCTGATTGAGTGCATTCATATGCATTGTGGAGTTAATAGCTTTCTTTTACAAACTGAAAAATGTGAAATGGGAAAACCTTTGACTTTTGGCTGACAACATCCAGAAAATGAAATGCCTGTTGCTGGGTGTGCAGTCAAACTCAATCAACCTCTTCAAAACTTCATCTCTTATATTCCTCTCTGGGAGCAGATGGAATGTATATACTTAAATTCTGCTTGGCTTTATTGCTGTTAGCTATTTATCATACCTCTTCAGTGAAATTCTATTTTTGGTATTAATCAGAAATCAGTTTTTATATAGAAATGATATTTTTCTAGTTGCAAAAAACAAGGTTGGAAACAAAATAAGAGAAAGCAATTTCGAAATGTTTATTTTTCTTTATAGGGAGAAAAGGAACAGCCTGTGTTTGCAGTGACTGGTTTAAGATGGGGATCTTACAGAGATGCGGGAGTTAAAGTTAGCAAGTAAGAAAATACTGGTTTTTGAAACGGTAACTTTTTTAGCATCTGTTGCCTCAAAAGAGATATCCCCCCTATTGTAAAGAAGTCTTTTCTGAGTGTAGGAATTTGACAGACAGAGGCACCCACTCTTGTCAGGTCTCGCATTACACTCATGGGAGTGTAAGACATTTCAGCATTTTTGTCATTTGAAATAAATCCTTATTTGGTGCTGACCTATTCTTTTAAGTATTAACTTTCTGCTTGCCTTTTGGTGCCCTATTCAGATTGTATCGGTGGGAAAAGCTCTCCCTTGAGTAAAGTCTAAGTAAAGTAATTGGCCGTTGTTTTTCATCAGTCGCCAATGAAAAGATGCACGCAGACTCTGTAACTCAATTCCAACAAGGGACATCAGATGCAGTAGTAAAGCCCTTCAGTTCCTGCCAGAAATGGCATGGACCGTGATGCCTATGACTGTTCTCTGAATGCTAAACTAATAATTGTTGGGCTTTCTCCAAATGGACATTTAATGTGCCACTGTCTGTGTATCAAATGACTGGCATTATCTGGTGAAGGAGCAGCAGGGCCAAAGCAGTTCACTTCTCAGGCTGTTCGGGAGGAACTGCAGCAAACGCCTCTGCTGCACAGCTGTAAGGAAGTACCGTGTGTTTTGTGAATGAGCTGTCTTTGTCAGAAAGCAAGAGGTAGCAGACCTCTGGAGTCAGTCTGGCAGATATTGAGTAGGTTTGAGAGGTGATGTGGAATGGGGGAGATGCAGTAAATGGTCAGGGTGTTTGTCCTGAGGAAGCAAGGGACGTGCTTGGTAGCTTGGGTAGGTGCTGACTTGGCTATGCTGTAGGCTAACTGCAGCCCCAAGATTAAGGAAGCGCACCTCTCTTCCCTCTACACTGCTGCTAGGCTTATTGTCCATACCCTGTGTTTTGCCTGGTGTCAGCCTTCGCGTCTTTTCCTGCAGCAGTTCCCTGTCGTGGAGACTCTTGGATTCAGTGCTGGAGGCATGACAGCACCCTTTGCGTGTGGGGCAGCGTGAACATCCTCAAACCTCATTCTTTTCCATGAATGTTTCCAAACCCACAGAAACTGTGCCCAGCTTGGAAAGCACATCAGCCACAAACGAATGGGTGCTCAGAGTGTGCCTGGGACAAGAACCATGCGTGCTTGTCCTGTTTTTGTACTCCTCCACTTCACCTACGTTTGGTCCCCATGAGAGAGAGGTTATTTGCCTAAATAAACATTTGGTGTGTTCCAGTACAACTGATCTTGTACTGGAAAGAAGGCACCTACTACAAAGGGAGTTAAGCTATAAGACACAATTCAGAAATTTGTCTGAGTATCCCTCTGCTAACCCTGGTAGAGACATCGCGCTGTTTTATGTTTTTGAGGTTTTGTTACTTTACAGACAATTTCATCGCTTGATGGGAGTGGTGTGACAGTTGCACATCTTAGTAGTTAATGATATACTTAAGATCTGCAGTACTCTTGAGCTGATGGCATTTAATGTGCTTTGTTGACCTTCTTTGGTGGAAGACAGTGATCAAAATATGTGCCAAGTCTGCCTAAATATAGCCACATCTTTAGATTCTGTACAATGCTGTACGGCTGGCAGGATTTTTATTGTGTAAAACATTGATTTTGATCTGAGAATCCTTTGGGGCAGATGAATGTTTGCTGGCTCTGTTCTTTTGTCACTGAAGCTGTTGATTTTCGTTTGTTTCCTCCAACCTCATTCTTTATTGCATATTGCGGAGATGCACCCCACCGGCTGTTAGACCACAGACCTTTAAATCATTCCCAGTTGTGTCACATAACTAGGTAAAATTCTGCTACTGAGATGCCACGCTGCCTACAGTGAAGATTGTATACTGCATTTTGGTGATCTGTACTGCAGGAAGGGGATGTCACTGCTAAGCTCCTGGTGATGTGTAGAAACTATCTTACAGCATCGCAAAGCTAAAGATTTTAGGAGAGCACCAACTTCGGTGGCAAGCACGTGTGCGTGCTCTGACTTCGTGCAAGGTTTCTCCCTCTCCCAGTATCGACCCTGAGTATCTTAGGAGCTCTGTCTGTGTTCTTTTTTCAGGTACTGGTACCTTGGGCCTCTGAAAACCAAAGCAGCTCACTTTTTCAGTACGTTTAAGGTAAGGAGTAATTGCGAGGAAAGTGCTTTCGTAGTTCGGAAATTAAACGGCTGACTATGTTTTGCATAATTTATCTGCAAGTTTTTGTGGAGGATTCTGGTGACAATGTAAAATGGGAGTGAAACTCGACTTGTTAAAAATCAGTTGATAGACTTAACTTGTGAAGAGATGAAGGGGAGGAGGAATACTTAAAAATTTTCTGTACTGAGGATCTGTTGCTGCAAGATCACCAGGGGGAGCCAGTAACTGCCTTTGAAACCGGAGAGCGGTAAGGGTTCTGAAGATAACCATTAAAGTGCTCTGTCGCCTGTTCTCGACAGTCTCTCTTGTGGTAGCATTTCATTCTGATTAATTCATCTGGCAGACACGTCTATAATTAGTCTGCTCGTGCACGTTGATAATCGGGCTTCCATGTGCAGTCAAAGGAACGTGAAGATTAATAGCTTATAGCTCACCTTAAACTTCTGTGTTGCTTAAAATTGATCCTGGAAAGATGAAAATCTGACCTGCGTGAAAGGTGAGGCATTTTCATCCACATGCTTTTCCTGTTCTCTGAACATATAAGGAGCCTCTTTAAAGGCTGTGGAAATAACCCAGGAGCTGGTACAGCGGATCATATTGTGCAGTCCAGCCACGCTGTCTGTGATAGTGCCGGTGCTTCCTTTATAGGAAGCTCCTGTAAAGGGGAGCTAAATTGTAATGCGTCCATGAAATTTCCCCCCTCCCATCCCCAAGAAATTTGAGGTGATGATTCTGTGTGCTGGCATTCTAGCTAGAAACCTGTTCTTCACTTTTCTCCAGCCCCTTTCTCACTTCTATTGAGTCCGTAGCCTCAGTTGGTGGCTGTGATAGTGGATTTCACTGGTAAGCTATTCATTGTACATTAAAAAGATCTGTTTAACCCTCTGAAGGTTAAAGAGAAGTGCCGCTTTTTCTGCTATTAATATAGAAAAGTTTCTACCTGATCTCCCCTAACTGTGGTATTGATTGCTTTATGTGCCTCTTTAATTTTGTTAATTTCTGTAAGAAATGGCTCCAGCCTGTTGAGCTTAATCTCTTCCTACCTTGTCTTTGCTGCTGTGCACTTCATCTTGTCAGCTTTTGCTGTAGCTGTCCTTTCAAACAGGATGACCTGTAGATGAAAACAGTCTAAGGGGCATTATTATGAGTGTTATCATCTCTTCTAAAATATACAGGCTTAAATTATTACAGCATTGCTGCTTTCCCATTTAATCATTCATGCTTATTGTTCGTGTGTTGGCCTACTGATACAACCTCTGTTTGTCCTGTTTATTATGTAAGTGTGGAGTCTTTCCTTGCTTTCAGAGGTGTGAGGTGAATTAGCTTAACAACCTGTGCTATATGAGCCAAAACTACTTCTAAAGTTTTGTGCCTAGAAAAATAATTGTATTGAGTACCCGTGGGCTCTTGGCTGGGTTGTTTTAGTATATACATTTAAAAATCCATCATATTATTTCCTCCATAAGCCCTATGTTTTGAGCGTTTCAGAAATTATTTTTAAAACAAAATGAGAGGAAATAAATTTTGTCAGCATTTGGAATTATTTCAGGAGCTAAGGTTCTTCTGTAGCCCATCAGTTTCTGGCACTGGAATCTGAAATATCACAGCAAAGAATGTGTTAATTTCCCCTCCCCCCCTCCCCATACTTTATAAAGCTCACCTGACTTGCCTTAAGACCTGTTGTATTGCTGTCTATATCACCTGACTATAAGGGCAGATCTGGATTGTTTGAGTTGTTGGAGAACAAAGCCCTGCCGGGTTTTAGTGCCCCTTGGCTGCAGACAGCACTGTAGTCTTTGCCTGTTTGCACGAGACCCCGCTGCGCGGTTGCTCTTTGAGGTTGCCTTTGTGCTGTGCAGAAAGCAATTGTGCTTTCAGACATTAATGTTGACCTTGCCGGTTTCGGTTGTTCTCTCCAGCCAGAAGCAGCTGTGTCATCTTGCCACACAGCAGCAGCAAAGAAAACATCCCTTTACCCTCTGCTTATAGAGGGGGAAATACCTCGCTTCTCTGTGAGGAAGGAGTAGATTAGTGACTTGGGAACTGTGGGTAGTCTTTTTCAGTCTGCAAAAATGTCATCTCACATACGAATCTGGAGGCTGGAGAGCCATAAAATAGGCTGAGGCGGCAATGGGATCTGGGTAGCTCTGCAGGAGTGCTTGGTAGCACACAAGAAGTGGGCTAAAGGAGTAAACTGAATAAACAGGTAGGTGCTCAACAAAAGGCCCTTTATCTTCTGTCTTTCCTTCCTGTGTAAATCCAAGGAATGGCCTCAGAAACGTCAAGGTGCTCTCATGTATCTGGGTCCAACTGAGAGACCTCCAGAAGAGCCAGAGGAGAAATCATCCAGACCTCCTTTGTATGTGCGGATTTACAGACGACTGCGGTTATACTGGTCATCTCCTCCAAAAGGTGAGGCAGGTGTATTTTGGCATAAACTCGCAGGCAGGCTTTACTCCTCTAATAGATCAGAGGAGGGGTTTTTTCTGCTTTACTTTTTTACTCTTTGCATTTTGTAATGTTGTTCTTGTTACTGTTATTTATTAATTAAAACTGTGACTCTATCAGGATAGTTGCAGTGGTGTCTGCTAGAAGTGGAGCCACTTCCTGTCAGTGCTTGTGGTCTCCTGAAAAAGAGTGCATTTGTAAAGAACCCAGGGCTCGCAGTTGCTTGCCATTGCTCTGGAAGCCTCTGTAGGTGACACCTGGCACTTGTGGGCGAGCTTCTTGAAGTCTTCCTCCTGTAGAATGGCTCCTTAGTGAGCTGGTGAGAGAGGAGCAGCCCTTGTTTTCCTGGGTGGGGGAAGTTGCTGACACAGAGCAGCAAATGTTACTTAAAATAGAACAAAAAAAATCAGGCCGTGCAGAAGCCTTAATCTTGTTACATTAAATTTCTTTCTGTACCATAAATTTTCTTCTGTGAGCCTCTCTTGGATTGGGTTGTCATCTAGGCAGTGCACATGGCAGACTGCAGAAGGAAGTGTATTTTGTGAAATCTGGTGTGATGCCAAGTCCTTCCCATTCCTTCTTGGACAGCAGAGGTGATTTAGGCAGAAGTATGAACTAAGTGACCTGTATGTGAGAACTGAACCATGAGGTTTCCTCCTATAGAAAACAGATGTTACTGCAGCATCCTGAACATTGGATTCCTGTTTATTTGATCGCAGTGCTTCATGTGTTTTCTAAATGTTCGTGTAATACTAGCCCAGCACATCTGTTAATCCCTGGGCATAAGGACTCACAGGGCTGCCATGTAACGTGCTGGATAGTCTTTCCTGCTACTGTGTGAATGCTGGTGGTATTTTTGTCTTTCCTTCAGTACTCCCAAACTCCCTTTTCCTTTTTTATGATTTTGATGTTTGAAAGAAACAAAGCCAGTGGTCACAATGGGTCAGAGTGATATTTGCATCTGGCGTTGATGTTTCATGCTTCATAGCAGTGAAATGATGATCTGTGTAATTAAATTCCACTTAATGACATCTTCTCTTCTTGATTTGCAGAAATCCCCCAGGAGGTAGCCCCGGAGGACTGGGAAGAACTGAAGCTATCCACCATAGAGCTTACCATTGCAACTCGGAACAGGCAGCTTGATCTGACAGTAAGACCGCAATATAACTGGATTCCAAATGCTCCTGCCCACAGTTTTCCTTTCTTGCTGAACTCCCATTCCTGTGTCTATAAATTAAACTTACTGCCCCATGCGTGGAAGGGCCCATGACTGAACCCAGGAATGGGCAGTTTCAGAGCCAGTGTAAAAGCACTGGAGACCCGTGTAAAACTGGGGTGCGGTAGGATCAGGAAGAATTTGTACAATGAGAAGGTTTCGCTAGCCAAACAGAAGCTTTGGGACTGCCCAGGAGAAAAGAAAGCACCAAAACAGGCACTGCTTTCCTTCTTGGCCCGTGGGAGAGTGATTCTGTTTTATCAGCTGGTGCTGGAAGGAAGCTGAGCCTGACTGTCTGCCTGGAATTGTGGCTTTTTCTCTCTCGGCTTGCAGAGCAAAGACTTAAAAAGAACTGGGACGAGGGGAAGGACAGGGGCTGCACCCAGCTGAAGGACAGGAAATGCAGTTGTTGTAGAAGAGTAGAACCAAGGGAGTAAGGGAACTGTTCCTGTCATAACCTTCTCACCGTGCTCATGCTGTTCATTCACTGTTTTAAAACCTGTCTTTGGCTTATGTCTGTGTTTTGGTGCAATTTTGTGGCTGTGAAAGCTATTTGTATAGATGTCAGTCTTTAATTTTTCCTAGAAAATGCGAACACAGTGACCCCGTGCTGGTGAGCTGCTCTTCGTGTCTTCCTCGTGGCTGCCGGAGGCGACTGCCACTACACCCAGCTTAACAGGAGCTGTTGAACTTAGTGCAACATGTTTCTTGCTCAGAATTCAGGGTCTTTTAAGAACCTGAAAATTTGTGTTATGTTGATATATTACCTTTGTGGGATCAGAAGAAAAAAAAACCACAGAAAAACCCCAGGCAAATCCAGTCTTAAAATTTCCTCCTGTTTTCTCCTTAGCACGTACCACATAAATTTTAGGTGCTTCTTCATCAGTGGTTTACAATTTGGACCACCAGTGTCCTAGTAACTGTAGAAGCTAGATGGAGACTAGTATTTGGGGTTTTGGGTTTTTAGTGGTTTCTAGATGGCACTTGAACAGAACAGTTTTGGTCACTGAACTGGATTGGAGTCAGTGATATAAAGAGAAAACAGACCTACCAAGAACTGAAAAAGTATCTCATTGCCACAGACTAGCCCTGATGTCCTTTACATCCTTTTTATTTTTTTCCTGCTCTTTTCTCCTTTATGCCTTCAAGATGCACTTTAATACTGGTGTTGAACAAAGAAGTGACGCAGGGTTCTCGGGTCTCTTGCATAGCCTAGAGAAATAAGTTTATGTTAGGGCAGTTGTACTTTTCTGCTTCTAGAGCTGGAAGTGTCTTGATATTGCATCTTTTTTTCCTACAGATATGGACCCCTTATAACTGCTTTTAACTCCCGCTCTTGAAGCCACTGTCCCTGTAGCCATCAAAGCTGCACAACAGCTCTCTCAAATCGATACCAGGACATACCTGCTGAGTATCGTCAGCCACTCCTGTCTTTGTGTCTGGCCTCAGAATCGTGCCTAGGCTGCCTGCTTGAGGAGAAGCTGATAAAGCCGTACAGTGCAGCTCAGACAGTGCCAAGCCTACCTCTGCAGATACAGCAAAGAACTAAAACAAGTTACACTAATAGATGCATTTCTTTCTACTTTTGTCATTTTGATTGCATCTGCACTAGGACTTGGGCCAGGACAGAAATGTAAAAGTAAATAAATAAAATAAATAAAAAATGAATTGCATCTTAATCAAAGTTGCTTTCCCGGCAAAAGCTTTACTGTATACTTGGCTTAAGGGCAGGCTGTAAATAGAAAAGAAGCAAAGTAAGGAGTTTAAAGGAATAACATCAAGAACACTGACTTCCAGTTTGTATTGTTGTAGTGTTTGGTGGCCAAATGTTGCATCATTGCACTGTTGCTTAAATTCATGAAAGACCCATTGATGAGAAATACTCGTGAACAGAAGCAAACCCAAGTGATCTGCTGTTACGGTCTCTAATAAGTGTGTGAAATGCAACAAGAAGCCAAACGTGTGAATCACTATTTCACTCGTGTGGTATTTGTTGTTGAATAGTCATCAGTGAGAAATTACTGTCTGTAATTTATAATCTGAATCTCAAGTTGAGAGTGGAAAAAAGCATGAAATGCATCTTCTGCCTCCTTTTGTGGGACAAAGGACTGGGCGTTTTGTGAACATATTGCAGTATCATGGGTGTGGCATTTTGAAAGGTTAACTGCTTGATTTCTGAATCTTTTTTTGCACAGCGCACTGAAGACTTCATGGATATTTGCATTGAGGCAGACGCTGTCAGCAAAGGACAGTTTGTAAACAGAGGGTGAGTATGAGAAGGCTGAGAAAAGATGACAGAATCTCTGTATGAGTTGGAACGCTAATTCCGAGAAGGGGGCGGTTTTTCTCTGATCTTGTGCTGCAAAATTCAGAAGCAGAGGACTGCAAAGGACAGCAGTCAGTAATGCTTCATGGAGATTGCTAATTTTGTTCTTTAAAATTCTTACTAATTTCCTCTCTCTGGAAACAAGGCAGAGCAGTCTACCTGGAGTTCTGCCTAGCTTCTGAGTTTGCTACACCTTTCATCTTTTTCTCCGTTGCTATTGATGGGTGCTGCTTGGATAGTACTGTCATAACTGAATTTTACAAGACAGCCATACAGACCTGTCCCCAGAATCTTCTAGCCCTAGCTGCTCAGCTGATTGAGAAGCAAGTCACAGAGCTGATATGTTTGTACTAGTAGTACCTGGAATTTTTGAACTCTGATTAGACAGGCTGTGTTTCTAAGTGAGGAGAGCTCCCTTGACTCGGTAACTCTTGTGATGAATTAGGTCTGAGCTGTAAGAACTTTTGGAAGATGTGATTTTGAACAGGGACTATAAGCAAATGTATTGGTGCTGCTTGTAAGTGGAGTAAGAAGCCTGCAGGTATGAAGAAGTGGCACGCAGGGAGAAAGTGAACGTGTGTTGCTTCCCTTGTGCTTGGAATGTTGTCTTGTAGTGCGCTTGTTCCTCCTGCTCTCACCAAATGTGAATCTGATCTGCTTTTTCCAGCTTCTTCACACGGTCCCACTAGCCAATACATTGCATCTTTAGTGCAGTTTTCGCCAGCAACAGATTTTCCTACTAAATCAGAGAGTGCTCTTCTGCACCTTACCTTTTAATTTACTGTTTTCTAGTCTTAGGGCTCCCTCTAGTGAAATCAATGGAAAGATTTCAACACAGTTTTACCTGCTTGTCATCACCAAAAGAATTCTTGCGTGCATGTCTTATTTATAGTACTAATAGCAGCAGCAGGCTGCTGATCCTTGAGTATCCCACGAGCCTCAGTGGGTACAGGATCTTCTGACCCGTGCATACACGGCAGGTCAGATTACCACCTGCAACTGCTTTTAAACTGCGTGAGCCATGTGGACCGTAGGTTGCTTGGGACTGGAATCTTTGCTTTGAAGGCTACAGAAGGAAAAGAGGAGGAGATTCTCCCATTAGCAGCAAAGGGAATCTGGCCTTTTAAAGGAGGGAGACAAAGGAGATGCAATGCTGGGTTCTTGGACACTTAGCTAGCTGAAAAAATGTGGATGAATTTCTGTGATGTAAGGGAGGGGAATTCGAGTGTACACCCACTCTAACGAATGTCTCCCATGCGGACTGGAGATGCTTCACAGTAGTATGTCGTATTTCTGACTGCAATTACACTGTCATGCAGAAAAAGCCTCTGATGAGAGTTAACATGCATTGCTGGCTAGAGCTAATTAGAGGCAGTACCTAAAGCTTTGAGCTGCTGTTCAAGCAAAGTTCAAAGAAACAAGCTCTTCTGATTAAATAGTGCCCAAAAGTCTGTACGTAACCATGAAAGAGCAAGAGGGGTGTATGGGGTGGGGGAGCAGCGGGAGGGCCTGGTTAGTCCTAGAGAGAGCAGCCAGAACAGAAAAAATGTGCCCTGTTTTTGCAAGGCAAAATCAAGGTGCTCAGAGAAGGCCTCCACCGCACAATGCCCTTTGGCAGCTAGGTTGGAATCGAGCCCATTATCAGAGGCTCCCCATTGCCTTGCACCAACAGCGTTTGTCTTTGGAAATGTGTCAAGCGGCTCTTTCTTTTTTCTTCCTTTTTAATGCATAGTTTTAAACTCCATCCGAATTTGGGGGGGCTGGAAAGGTTTTTATGGAAAATACCTTATCAGTGCATATACCAAGGTTTTTTTATGTTGGAGAGGGCGCTGACACGAGCTGATCAGAACTAATAGATCACACAGAGCAAACCACGCATCCGGCGGGCAGCTACCACGCAGGCTCCGGCAGTGTCTGGGGGGTGCATCAGGGCGCTGCAGGGCAGCTGCTGTCGGATCTCAGAGAAAGGAGTAGGTCATCCCAGGTGTATAAAACTGCCCTCTGGCTGGGGATCAGATTTGTGTGAAGAAGAGCATCCGCAGCAGGGGCAGAGCTGATGCTGAAGATAAGGTGGGGGAAGAGCAGGTGGTCACACTGTAGTGCTTACTAGGAAGTGCTGGAGGGAAGGAGAGCGGGGTGGAAAGTGTGGAACCGGTAATCCACATCCTGGTAGCCACCTTAGATTCTGTCTGTGTAAGTCTGCAGAGCTGTCACTGTGAAGCATGAATACGGGTACCAGCTGTGGCGCAGGAGATGTGTTGGTTTTTTGTTAGAGAGTCTTATTCTGAACCATTTCATATTGGCCGCTTCTGGAGGTGAAAACTAGGTTAAAATTGTGTGTGGTATCTGCAGTAGGTGCTATGGTTCTCTCTCTGCCTGTATTTTTGTGATTCAGCATATGGAATGGGATAAAACAGTCAGTTGAAACTGTTGCTGTTAGGCTTTGGTCTTGCTCCTGTTTGACTTTGCTCTCTTGTCTTGAGTGAGGAGCAGAATCAAATGGAAATGATTTCTGACCCTTTTATACTGGGTCACTAGAGAGGCAATCACTGCAAGTGGAGCTGTATCTGTTTGCTTCTACCAGCGTTCTGCTTTGACTGATCTTTGGTTCCATGTCGTGTCTCTCTTGAGCTTACCGTGACCACATAATCGCATCTCTGCAGAGCATCATTTACCTTCGTGGACCAAAAAAACCTGCTTGCCCACCAGAGTGAAGTAGCCGGGACCTTGTATGTTACACTTTGAGCAGGTTGAACTAAGCGGGGAGTCTTGCTGCTTGTTTGTACAGCATTGTATAAACTGACAGTATTGCATGCCATCAATGATTTATAATTTATATTGCCGGGAGGATGTTTAATTCCCGCACATTCACTTATTAATCTTTTAGTGTATACATACTTGATTAAACGCAAACTTTCCACTGTTAATATTGCTTCTGTCCTTCCCTGCCCTTTCCTTTGGTATCTTAGCTTTTCTTCCGTTGTCCTTGATTATCGTCGCCTGTTTCAACCCTCTCTTCTCATGTTCTTTCTCTGGGATTTTCTGTGATTTTAAGAGGCGCTTGCATTCCTCAGGGCATGGAAGGCTTTGTGTATAGGGAGTTTCTGGCAGGTTTTTCTGACTTCTTTTCCTAGGTGATATTTAAATGCACTCTTCTTTCACATCAGCCTACGGAAAAGTGGGGGGCAGCTGGCATTGCCTGTCGGAGGAATATCTGTGATGATTCTGCCGTGCTCGAGAGCTGTGATTTATTAACGCTGTAACTCTCTGCTGGCCCCTTTGCTGTTTGTGTGTTGCTGTCTGTCTGGAGAGGGGCCCACACCGAAGGGTTACTGCCTGGGGGGCGGTGTAGCTTTGTCAAAGGTCAGCCAGAAGGTTATGTGTGTTCGCAGTCAGGAGGCCAGAGGTAGATCAGCGTGCCCAAGAGCTTGTGCTTGCTCCGCAGCAGCACGCGTTGGGAAAAGGGATCGCACCGCGCTACTCTTTAACGGTTGATGCAGTGACAGGACAGCAACCCAAGTCGTGAAAAAGACCACGTGGCCCTTGCGCCATCAGCTTTCTGAGACGGGCAGCTGCCTTCTGTGTGCTCCCATTTGACATCCACAGAAGTAGGAAAGTAGCACTTCTCTAACTACGGTACATAAATAAGAATCTCGCAGGCACCAGAAGAGAGTAACTGGCAGAAAAGGAGATATTATTTGGAATGGATAATATGATGATGTCCTGGGGGTTTCTTCCCAAGAATGATATAAAAGCAGCTGGTGAGAAACATCCTGCTGACTGGTGTTGATGTGAGAAGAGATGGGTTTTTTAGATGCTAACTTAGTGGTTCAACATAACTATAATTCTGTCAGGTTGTTTGGCTTGGAGGGTTGTTTAGGATGCTGGTAAGCTGTGTGGGTGCATGGGATTTAAGGAGATGGCAGTCATTGCAGGAATCGTACAGTTCAGCATGTGAGGAGCTCAAAACTGCTGTAGGTTCAAATATACAAAACTGTATATTCGAATAAATCCAGTGAGCCTCCGAGCAGAATCTGGTTGGAGGCTGTCAGTGCGTACTGATCTGTATTGACTGCAGCAGAACAGGGAATGTCTATTTTACTTTCTCACAGTAGAATGGCAAGCATTTGTATATATACATAACCTCAAAGTTTACCAAATGCACTGTGGATTTACCAACCCACAGTGACATGTTATTGCTAAAGATGGCTGTTTCCGAGAGAAGCATCTCCTTACCTTACCTCTCTTTTGGTTTGGACAGAAGTCAGAAGATGCGTGACCCACATACGTGCCCTGAAGGGAGTCAGTGCATCCAAGCCAGCAGATGCATCTTGCAGCTTCCAGAGGTGAGAAGCTGAGGGAGCTGGAAAACTGTCACTTTATTTCCTCGTACCAGTTGATGCTGCGCATTAAGAAATCCCTACTCCAAATCTGGAAGGTCGATTACACTGCCCATGGGACGCTCAGTTCCTCAGTGCAGCAACTGAGTCCCTGGCCAGGAGACACATGCTGGAGTTTGCCAAATGGTCGGTAAATAGTAAATAGTGGCAGACCTTTTTTGTAGGCAGTGGTTGTAAAGGGTCTCTTACTCCAGTGCATTGCATATGCACACCTTCTCCTCAGTACTGGAGATGTATGTGCATTTTACCCTAGAGGGGATTGTGTTGAAGGGAAGAAGATAAATACTAGAAGCTTTATGGAGACCAAGGAGGGTGAGACAAGGTAGTGGGGCTCAGATCACTATAGGGAAGTGTCTCAAAACTTTGAAGTGATGAGGCTGAAAAAGAAGCCAAAACTGTGTCCATTGATGTAATTTAGATTAGTCTTTTGCTGCCCCTTAGAAAGAAGAGGCTGTTACTGCAGCCTTGGGGAGGATGGTTTCTTGTTTTACAAGGACATGAAATCAGTCTCATAGGTTTTTGTCCCACTTCAAGCGGTCTGCCATTTGGCAAAATAATTCCGTATTAAGGGAGAATAGAATGTCCTGAAAGGTGAAGAAGTTGCTACCAAGTGAAAATCATGACTTATGATGCCATGATTAGCCAGCATCCCAATAATTGCATCAAACTCATATCATGGCAATTCTGTGATGCTGAAGGAATACTCTGGAGTACTGGACTAAGTAAAGCTGAGCTGTAAGTAAGGGCTGCGGTGTAAAATGGGCTGTTCATACTGCAGCTGCTGCTAAGATCTTCAGAGGATGTGTGCATGGCGCAAAGCGGTGCCATTCAACTCCCTGACCTAGCTCTGATGAAGGAACTGGAGGCAGCTCAGATGAGTCTCACCAGCCTTGCAGAGAAACGGGCTATGTTGATCCGGGTGGACTGCTGTACCTCTTGACTTCAGAACCTATGCTGCTTTCTCTGATCTGTGCTGTTCTGGTGCACGAGTTCACTGGGAGATAGTTTGGGTATCCAGGTAACATAGCCCTACCTTGAGTCAAGTGCATGCAGAGCAGTCACCGGATTTGTTCAGGTGAAGTCAACCTGCCATTCTGAGGAATGGTTTTAATCATTTGTGACTTTATCACCGTTAAAGAAAATGCTTAAGAAAATTCTACTGCTGAGTAATTCCTGACCCATGAATTACTTTGCATCTCGCGTTTCAGATCAATACAGTAAAACAATACCAAAAGGTGTTTGTAACGTGGATTTAATGGGAGTTATTTAACAGGCACTTCTGCAGATTAGCTTGTGTCACCACTGGCAGACCAAGATCTAAGTGCATATTAATTGTAGTTCCAATAGCAAAGAATCCTTCACTATAAACAATGTGGGTCATTAAAGCTCCCTAGCATTTAATTACCACCAATTAGCAACTAAGTGAGGTAACATCTCATGCAACAGACTCTTCATACATTATGTGCAGTGACGGGTAGCTCTCACTGCGTTGTTGAGACCACGTGGGCTGGAAGGCGCAGGGAGGGGGTCATCCTGGTGAAGACTCAGCTAAGTATTAGCTGTATTCTATCAGTAAAATCAGGTGTCAGTACTACAGCAGTGCTGAACGGGTGTGTCTGATGTACGACCCTGACCAGCGCTGTTGTCTCTACACAGGGCACCGAGGGGTCCTTTGGCATTGACAATGAGGAGCATGAAGCTATGCCTGTGGAGGTGAAGCTGCTGCCCCGGAAACTCCGGTTCTTCTGCGACCCCAGCATGAGAGGGCCGATGCTCCGCGCAGCTGTACACTGAGAGTTCATGTCAAAGGGGACAGTGTCTACCAGTCTTACCAGGGTCTCTTCAAGACACACAAGACCCAACTGACTTGATTAACCCCACCAGACTAATAAGCCATTTGGCTATTTTTATGCGCAAGGTACTTCCATTGGAAGTGGCTGATTTGCCAAGTCTCAGAGGGGTTAAAAATGCAACTGAAAATTCTGGAAAATGCGTATTAACTTGATGGCATCTTTTTTTTTTTTTTCCCCAAAGAAGTCATCCGTGTTCCACTTACAGCACTGCAGGCTGAGTGCTGTGTGCCAGATGCTACTGCTTTAATGCAAATGTATATTAAAATAAAATGACAGCACACATGTCCTTGTGTTTTAAGAGTTTAGGTCTACTTTACCTATGTATAAATGTCACAAAACCTGGGATCTTGGAAAAAAATTGTTTGGGGGGAGTAATGCTAAGGAAGTCTGTGAAATGTTGGAATTGCCCCATTAAAACAGGTGGTTGGTTATCTACTCTGTCACAAAATAAACTGAAGATCGGTGATACAAAGCTTTGGAGGAAGTTTAAAAATATCTGGATAAGATATTTATGGTTCCAGTTAGTAACAGAGTACAAATATATTGCTTTGATCAAGTTTAGGTGTATTACAGAGAAGCAAATTGGAAAATGTCGTCATTGACCCAAAGCTGTATGAAGTGCATGTGCAAAGACTCTTTAACAAGCCAAATGAGTCTTTTCTTGTAAGTATTCCTTTTATTCCTGTAGTAGCAGAACACAAATAAGGGCATCCAAATAACTTTAATTATTCACTGTGTCTGGTTGTTCTGCTCTAGTGTAAACAGTGCTCACCACCCCTTATGCAACCTACATCCCCTTGAGCCTCAGCACCGTAATTAGTTCTGCTGCTTTTCTGAGCTTTTGTTTATAGCTTCGCTTTAATTGCTGAAAGGATGTGCTACTGCCTTAGGCACGGTCGTCTGTTGCCCTTCTTGCTATAACTTACAAGTTCACATGGTTCTGCCCTGCTCACTGGAAGGAAAAAGGCTGATCCTTATTTTGCTGGTGTGATTGTTGTTCGTGCAGAGTCCCGGTGTTACACTGCGATCTAGTCTAAGGTCGCCTGTTGATTCTTCGGTGTAAGCGAAACAAGGACATCAGTGGATGGACTTCCAGCAGGGGATTGCGTCCTGGCTGCGTGCTGCGGCGGCATCCTCTGCTGGAGACTTGCTAAAGGGACCGTGCCTTGAAAGGGAAAGTAGGCTGCATGACGCTGGAACCAAACTGAACGCTGTCCTTCCCTTGTCCGTAGCGTGGAGAAACTCATCGCCTGAGCTGCTGAGGCAAGCGCTCCCCCCCTTCTCGGCCAAGGTCTAGGGGAGCGGAAGCCTGCTAGTTCTTTTTAACAGTTACGCTGGTGACAGGGCCTGTGTTGTGCTGTCTTTCTTTTGGTCTGCAGGAGCTGAGAGTGCCCGGCGTACTCCTGGGTTGCTCCCCAAGGAAGATGGTGGCTGTGCTCTGCTCTTTGTGCTTGCCAGAGGCACCTGGAACATTGCTCTGCAGCCGCTGTGGCTCCTTCAGAGCCGGGGGCAGTTCTCACCAGCTGAGTTCTTCCTCAGGCTGGTATTTCTGTAATGAAATCAGCAATGTTTTTAAAGACAAGGCAGCAGCCATCTCAAAAAGGTAAGCTTTAATCGTATTAAAAAATACGCATGTTTTAGTACGCAGTTTCTCTACGCAGCCACGGGCCTGTGGGTAATCCTGTTCTGCTGTTAAAGTGCCAAGGATCTTCTGAGACACGGGCTCATGTTTAAATATTCATATCAGCGTAAGTTGAGTAGCTTGTATAAATACCATTCAAGTCATTTTTCCCCTTCCTCTACCGTTCAGAAATCTTCCAGTGTGGGGGGTTTCTAGACCTCCGACCTGCAGCACTCAGAGGGGAGGTGTGATGAAAACATTACACAAAATAAGCAGGGGCTGAACCAGCCATCTACAGCGTTTAGGAACGGACTGGGTTCTCACATCCTGTCGGACAGCAGGACAGACAACTTTCTTTGTATCAACTCCAAGACAGGAAGGAGGAGTAGACTCCTAGGTCCCACTCGTGAAAACACTTATCCTGGCCTTCAACTTACAGTCCATTCTAGAAGGGCTTAAAGTACTGTAACATAAATAAAAAGGAAGGCTAACAACCCAGTGATGGACCAGCCCAAGGCACCTGTTTATTTTAACCACAGTTAAACATTCCCATTTGAATGGCGTGTTGCGTTAACCAGGAGCTGAAATCCTGGCTGACAGGCGTTTGGTACCCTCTGGTTTGGACGGGCATCGCTCCGTTACGTCGGTACGTTCCCGTCCCTCGCGGAAGACTTCTCCCGTAATCGTTAAACCACTGCTGGCTTGGGGGGGGGAGGGGACAGCAGCTAACTTAGAAGAGAGAATTTGGGTTAGTTTGCAGGCGTGGTAGCTAGACTTTCGCATTAGGACAGAGGGCTCTTGCCCTGCTATTGCAGCAGCCGCTGCCTTCCCACCTCCCACAGCAACGCCCCCTGCACAGTCTGTCACCAAGAGGGCCGCAGCTACTCCTAGCTTTCTGCCAACTAACTTTGGCAGTTCTTAAAGTGGGAGAAGTATCACAGTAACACTGCTTTACAAAATACGCTGCACAGTAAGCTGCCTTCTCTTGAAAAGGCGACAGAACTTTCTTCTGCCCCTAAGGACGCTGGACAGGCGAGCTCAGCTCCTGCGACAGACACGACCGTTAGCTCTAACACACATTGGAGTAACCACTTTGTACATGCTAGAAATGAAGGTATTGGCACGTCTCTAGGACAAATCTGAACTCTAACGCCTTTCTCCTAGTATCCATTATAGTTCTCAGTTGTACTTGGCTCTGTGCAGCTTGGCCTAACCTTGCAGCGAGAAGACGTTGGCGTGATTTCAATGTCTGGCATGGTCTCCCTCATTCAGATTGAAAACCTAGCTTTTATTTCTCTCCCAAGCTTTACCCTCCAATCCAGACAGTACAAGCAGTAATAATTCATTACTTCTGTTTATACGTTTCTAGTGCAACTTGAGTTAAGATGCAGTTACGAAGCTCTTGCTCTCCTGTTCAAACTCAGGCTGAAGTACCAGCTGGGAACCTGTAACGGCTGTCGTACCGTGAGCTGGGTGTCTGCGAGGAACCGCCCAGACTCTGCCTACAGGGCACAGGATACACGCGGTTACCGCAACCACCGGGCAGCCCCGGCTCTGCCTGCAACCGACTGGCGGGAGGCATCACACCGAAGAAATGAAAGGCACCACCACTGTAAAGGCAAAGTACTTCAAAGGGAGAAGAGGATTTTGTAGTTATCAGCAATACCCTACCTTATGCCACGCTTTCATCCCTCTCTTAATTCAAAATACACCAAGTAACTGTCTCCCTTCCAGCTGCTAGTATTCAAAAAAGCAACTGTTAAGTGCCAAGGAGTGGATTTTAAATGTCTGCACTTAACTGTTTTATCTTGAATTACGTTATCTCCCGGCAAGACGAGAGTCCATTAAATTGGTTCCAAACAAAAAC